GGCCTAGGGGGTCACGTGACCCCCTAGATTTTGAATTTTTTAATAGGAAAAGTAAAATATCAAACACCTTTCCTCAACGAAATCCCTCATTTTGCCTAAATCATTCCTAGTTTTTCCTTCACCGTCCACAACCACGATCGGAGGTAATAATCCACAACAATTTGGTTGGGAATGGGTTCGAGCATACCACGACAGCAGCCCAGAGGGCCTCTAGCGAAAAGCTCCAGAAATTCATTAAAACCCATGTGTGCAGGCTTCATAAATTGGATATGATCGCTATTCTCAGTGAACTCTAGGGCCAATAGGAAGTTTCTCTTGCTGTTGAGGTAATTGATTAGTGGGCAAAATGGTGGAAAATAGGTTGTTGATTTTGTTGTACTTTGTGCTCATGTTTGTACCCTACTTTTCTTGTTTGATCATGGTGACAACGTGGTCTTGATTCCAAACCAAGTGGTGCGATTGAGTGTTGTACCTTTTGCTATAGTATCATGCCTCCTCGTGTTCTTAGCTGAATAGATGCATTTACTAGTGTAATCATTTTGAAAAATCATTCTTTTCTGCACTTAATATCAACAGAAATGCAATATGTGATTATCATATTGAAGCACTGGTTATCAAATTGCACAACCTTTAGTGTCGGATAATTTCAATCTAATAATTAGAGATCAAATTAATTAAAATCCACCTAGTCAGTAAGCACAGACCCTTACTAGTTTATTGGAAACATAAAGAAAAGTTCCAGAGTTTTTAATGGGGGAAAGTAATGCCATAGGACTGATCTCCACAGGAGCTGTTCCCGAGTACACCAATAAAGCCTTGGCTTCTTGAAGATCCCCATCTCTTGGTAAATCGGTTATTGGAAAGGGAAGGGATTGAGGGAATTGGGGGGAAGGGGAAAGGGAAAGGTGGGGTTCTTTCAAAATGTTAAAAGATTGGGTTTGGGTAGTTGGGTGGACTTTTTTTTTTTTCAAGGTAGAAAATTAAGGGCCCAGTGGAGGCAGTTGCCCCCACTGGGCCTTTAATGGGTCCGCCCCTGGATAGTTGAGTTGTACTCTTTTATGGGCAAATA